AACCTGGTCCCAGCCAATCCAGTCCTTGATAACGGGTTTGATCCAGCTCCCAACAAAGTTAACTGAGTTTGGTCAAATCAAAGCAAGGCAGCACAGACACCAGTGCTGCTTGGTACCACCCAGATAGCTCACCTCCACTTGTATAGACCTCCAGCTGTCGGTTGATGTTGGATTTGTCCACCAGAGAGTGCAGCACATTAAGGACACTGTGGACGTTCCAGATCTTGGGGTTGGAACGAAGGAAGTCAATTTCCTCTTCAGACTTCTTGGCTGTCTTACAGCGGTACTGGCTGAAAGACTGGAACTACAGGAAAAAGCAGAGATTCAATGATGAGCAGCTTGTTTGCAGATGCTCAGCTAAGTGCACTAAGCTTACAAGTTGCTCACACAAATGCAACACGATAAACTAAAAATTTCATTAAAAAAAAGAAAAAAAAGGGTTTCATCTGAGATCACCTGGAAATCAAAATGCTAAACTAAATTTAAAGCATGTAGGGAAAAAATGGTATAGTTTACAGGGAAAAAGACCGGAAAACAGATTGAATCAGAGAAAGATGTCTTAGACAATTAGGACAGGCAACTTAACAGAAATCCGCTGTCTGAACCAAATCAGAAGATGAGTCTGCATACACACATCTTTTTTCTATACATGCATATATCCTTTTTTCATTCTCAAGCTTGACAAGACAGCATTTAAAGAATTATAGGCAGCTCTATAGTAAAAAGTTACAAATGAAAGAATCTACAGAAAAAAAACAATAGTGTTTGAGATCTGTGCTGCTGCACTCGGACCAATAAATGCAAAAATATTTCCTAATGTCAAGATCTTAGACCACATCTTATTTCAAATCAGGTCATCAATCTCTCTGTGCAAGCATAAAGGCCCTTACTGCCTAAGAAACACAAAACTTGTGTTTTGAAACAGAAATATCCGCAGAAGATCGGGACTCCCTAAAGAGCTCACCGAAGGTTTTTTTATGTGCCATGGTATCTTCACTATGAAAATCACAGCAAGGGAAGAGATGGGAAATTTATACAACTAATAAAGGCAAAGCCACCCCAAAATGGCCCAGACTTACAGCCACATACCTGGTATATGAATTCATCAATGATATCCCAGAGCCACTGGTTGGGCAGCTCAAGGGGAGCAGGGCCATCAGCATCTGCAGAATAGATGAGAGGCTCAATAGCTTGAGCAAGAACAGTGGCAGAACTGGAGGAGCAGACAAATTAAAGAACACAAGAATTTCCCCAAAATTCTTGTGAAAGCAGCAGATGAAGCAAGCTTCCAGTAGGTCTGTGATATGTAGCTTCTACTACCTCAACTGCCTTCACTTTCAAAGACTATGAACATGCACAGGGTTAATCTCTAAAGTGTGACACCTCTGCAGCAGTGATTCTCAGAAGCTGTACACAGACCAGAGGGGTTAATCCTAACTGATCTAATCTCCACAAAAAGTCTGGCAGGGAGTCACAAACACTAAAATTTGTTCCAAGGGGCATCAACAGCAGTAAGCAGTTGTGAAAACACTGCAAGTTTCTTTAGCTTACAGCTTCATTTTAATTTTTAATAGAAGTAGATCAAGCAGTTCTCAGAAAGACAGAAAGCTAAATAACTTTTATTCTTTACAGAGTTTCAGAAAGAACTGGGAACTACTTCTACTTTTTATGGCTTTAAATTCATGGATGTAAATCGCTCTTCATTCAGCAAATTCAAACATACAGAAAGCTCGTAGACTACTTCTCCCTATGTGATCTATACACAAACATGTTGCCATTCTTCTGACCCTTTCTCCAGCTCCACCCCTCTCCGTCCACTCTCCCTCTCAAAAATTAACAAACCAGACATGGATTGCAGCAACTCACTGAGGATGTAGTTGAAGAGATTGCAGTAGTTGTAGTAGGATTCAAACCTCTGCTCCAGTGTGGGCCCTCCCTGCAATGAGAAGTCAGCACCGTCTGACTTTGTTTTGAGCACCAAAGAGGGAAGTTCATGGGCAACAGCATATAAAGGACAGTGAATAGTCACAGCAGTAGAGGGTCTCTTTCAGAAGTGCTAAAGCCAGTATTCAACTAGGACACCCACCAGCATCACCCAGGAAGCCTGAAATTGTATCACTGTTGTCCCATAGAACAGGGCTGACTTTTCCTGTACAGGTGCTTCTCCCAGGACAACCGAGCAGTCAAAATTCCTCTGAATACTGTGCATTAACCTTCCCTCTTCCCCTTTCTGCTGTCCAGACTTAAGAACTTCCTATACCTTAATCAGCTTTCTTACCTTCTCCTTTTATGAGAGGTCTTAATAAACCAACAATTCTGTTTCTGGACAGCATTTCTAAACACTCTGACCTACTGGTAAGGAATCATTCCTAGAGTCATCTCCCTTGTTCAACCTGGAGACACTGAGTCTGAGAACCACTAACAGCAAAGTGTGAGAAACCAGTTTCTCCTGTTAAAGCTTGTCTTGGGTTAATACAGCAGCCTTTTTAAAGTGCTCATTTCTCCACCCTCTGGTCCCCAGTAAAACTGCAATTATTACTTATTAACTCCGTAAGTCATGTGTCTGTTCAGCTTTTTTCCCCAAGTACTGTGATTTTCTCACTGACTTTAAAGTAGCCTAAGAAAAAAAAAAGTGAGGGATTTGTTTTGTTTCACAGAGCATTATTCCTTCCACTTCCTTCTCCTGTATCCTTTATGGTATCCATACTTCCCTCTTTCCAATGCATTCTGACCCAATGAGGGGTTTTTAGTCACAAATAATGAACCTTCCTCTTGTGACACACCCTCTGACCCAGTTGCTCATCTGAAGAAAAAAGAGCCACAAAGAAACACACAAAAAAAAGCACTTAAAGGGAAAATTCAGTTACCTCCCAAAACCTCCTCTGTCCCTAACTCACTAACCAATACTCTGAATGTCAGTAACAAACAGCCTCTTGAAAACTCAGATCCGTCTTCCGATTCATTTGAGCTACCAGGGAACCCTGCACACTCATTATGACCAAGCCTGAAGAGACAGCTAACTAGCCTCAGACAGTCAAGTCTTTCCAGCAATCAGTGAATCCTTACTAAACTAACAAAAGGCAAGAATTCTAAGCTTCCCTGGAAGCAATGTGACTTACAGCTCACAAACCCATAAATCCTGTCTTGCAAAAACATGAAGACAAAGGGCCAACACTCACACTGACTTTGGCGTAGATGTGCCTGTAGTACAGCTCCTTGTATAGGATGAGGAAAACAGCATCTGGAAAAGATGACAGAAGGGGACATGAGCAAGCCACACTCCTGCCACAATCATTAAAGGAAGCGCAAAAAGATACTTTGCAGTTTGACTCCTTGCCAGGGACCTGCTGAAGGAGTTGCCAGAGTGAGCAAAGACAACTGACTCAGGCGGCAGCAACGCTGTGCACCTGCTCACTCGTGGACCAGAAGGATTTAGTTCCTTCTCTCTCTGACAACCAAAGAAAAAGACTTACCGTTCCCAACCTGAGGGGCAATGGCCTCAGCCTCTGGCCATGGGGTGTTCTTAAAAAACCTTTCTGTCAGTTTTGTCCAGCTGAAAGACAGACACACGCGGTATGAGAAACCAATTTCCAGGATGACAGTGATGGAGCTAGAGATGACAACAGAGACGCCTTGGGCTTGATGAAGGCTGAGAACCAACCCCACCCCCTGTAACTCCAGTGTTGAGGCTAAGAACAAGAACTGCAAACTAAGCAGTTAGTCTTCAATTTATCCCTCAGCCACAAAACAGCCGTGAATGTTACTTCCACATTTTCTTCATGGCAAGGTGAAACAGCTACAAGCAGGAGTGAAAGAGTATCTGCAGGGAACAGACACAAAAGTTACACCTAGCAGCTTTCTGCAAAATGCCTGGCTAGCATGACTGAGATCCCTTTTTGTAGCCTCCATACCTGTTAGGTCAGGGCTGATATTCTTCTTCAGAGGGGTCACAACTCACCTATACTTACGTTAGCCTAACAGACTGGAAATATTTGGGGTTTTTTTCCCCCCGTAACCAAACCAAACCTATTTTAGAGAAAGACCAAGTTTCAAACAACACAGGCAGCAGCAAGATTTAGCAAGCTTTTCCTTTTAAGGGCAGAGTGCACTGTCATCACAGTTCAAACAGTGATTCCCACTTGCAGGAAGGATGGTGTTGTACCTGTTCTCATAAATGTCCTGGATCTCGTACACCTTCTGGTCAATAACATCACTGGAAACTCGGCTGGCCTGGAGCTCGTACACCTTCTGATCAATGAGATCTGACACTGTCTTGTGAAAATACTGAATGAAGTTTTTGATCACTTCGGGGATCACCTGGTAGGTCTGCTGCTCGTACTGGCGCTCGTAGGCCAGGTCTTGCTTCGGGTCTCCTGCGGGGAAGGCGCAGCAGTGAAGTAGCCGCCGCACGGCCCGCCCCGGCCCCACAGACCCCGCCGGACGCCGGGGCCCCCGCGGCGGCGCGGCCCAGGCCAGCACTCACCCGTGTGCATATCATAGTCGTTGGAGTACGCGTAGGGGTCGTAGGCAGCCTGCAGGGAGAGGGTGGCAGTGAGTGCCCGCGAACAGCCCGGCCGCGCCCCCCACGCCCCCCCGCGCCCTCGCCCGCACCTCGTTATCGTAGTCCTCGCCTGGGTAGGCCATGGCGGCGACGGCGCGGCGCGGAAAGGGCTCCGGGAGGAAACGGGGGCCTGGGGCGGGCACAGAGGCGGGGCTCGGAGCGGCTAGTTCATCACTTCCATTGGTTGAAGCGACTGTCCGTCTTCAGCTCGCTGAGCCGCCATGGGCTGCCTATGCTCCGTCCCTCCCTCTGATTGGAGAAAGCGCCTGCCCGTCAGGCTTTCCTGGTCACCGCCTCTCTCCTCTTCTTCCTCCTTACCTGCGCCCTCCCTATTGGCTGGAAGCACGAGGTGAGGCGCCTCCCATTGGTGGAGCGGATGCGGCCCGCCCTGTTGTTATGGTGACGCCCCGCCCCTCTCCCCGGCCTGGCCCGGGAGGGGATGGAGGGTGGCGGCGCTGCCGACGCGGCGCCCGCCGCGGTGCCGGGGCTGGAGTCGGGGCCGGAGCCGGAACCAGAGCCACAGCCACAGCCGCTGGTCGGGCTGCGGCTGCTGGAGCCCGGGCTGCCGCTGGGGCCGGCGGCGGGCGCGCCCCTCGGGTACCTGCACGTCCTGTGGCAGGGGGAGGAGCCCGCGGGCAAGATCCCGGCCCGCCGCCTGCGTAGGGCCGCCCGCCTGCACCGCCGGCTGGGGCCTACGGGCAAGGAGGCCCACGGTGAGCGGGGGCCGGCAGGGAGCCGCTGTCCCGTCCCAGGACACCTCTGCCTTCGGCCGGCTCCGCACGGGAAGGGGGTCGGATCTGTTCGGGGGGCGGTTTGGGAAGTTATCCCTGGTTCTGCCAGAGGAGGGTGCCGGTCAGGAGTGGGAGGGCTTCCGGAGGACAGGAGGAGAGCTGTTCTTACCTGGTGGCTTGATCTCCGGCTTCCCCTTCTCTGATCTGAGCCAGGAGCAGCAGCACGATTTGGCCCCACACCTGAGCCGTCCTGCTGGGATGTTTCAGTAGGGAGACGCACCTTTTTTCTCTATTCTTCTTAGTAATTGCTTTCTTTTCTCCACAGCTCTGAAGAGGCTGCGTGAAGCTGCCAATAGCAACGACTTAGACACAGGTAAGGCTTCTGTCAGTCCCACTTAGGATCTCTTCCTGGAAGGGCAGTATGTGGAGGACTCTTATTTTAGGAGAGGATGAAGTAGGTGCTGATAGTTTGTGGACATGGTGCTTTAGATGCTTCAGATCTAGAAAATGCTCTTTTGGAGCCCAGTTTCATTCTCTGATCAGACTGAAGCTGGTTATAGTGCTCACTTTTTCACTGCACCTGGTTCATAGTGTTAATTTTCCAACTGCATTGAGCTAAATCAGCACTGCACTGTTCCAGCTGCTTTGGTATGTACCTTTTGCTCAGTTGTAAGCAGCAAGAGAGTAGTGTTTTGGTTAAAGTGAAAAGGCTGTGATTATCTAAGCCATGCCCTATAAGATGAGCAGTGTGACCCAGTAGATTAGAACCAGGACCAGAGATGGACTCTGTCTCTCACAGTGACCTCAGAGAAGGCTCATGGCCTATCTGTTACTCTCTTTACCTTTCTAGACTGTGGATTAGGTGGAGTTTGATATGAAGTGTCCAGCAACAATATCTGCCCCTTATCATTGTCCCTTCTTAGACTGTGCTGGCCTTTCATCAGGCCAGTCAGTGAACAGAACTGGAAACTGATTTAACTTGTAGAAATCCCAGCCCACTAGACTGGGGGGTGGTTCTGGTGTGCCTCACCCTTCAGCTCCACAAAACACCTTGTTTCACGAACTGATGGGTAAAGTTCATCTATGAGTTCCATCAGTACAGAAGGGCTGGGCTTCAGTCAGTGAGTCAAGAGGGAGAATGAAAGAATGTGGCATTATGGAAGTCTTGGTTTCAATCCATCTTGGATGTGAAAGGCAGGTTCCCCTATTTACAGTCTTACTATCTTTTGTGTACTCGGAAACTTGAAGAAATGTCTGATGATTAATTTATTCTTCATCAACAAGTAAACATCTTTGCTGTTTCCTGTGGTGGCATTGGGTGGGAAAGGTAATGTCATTTCTCCAGGCTTCAGGGAAGGACTAGGTAAAGTGTTCCCCATTAATGGTTCTCACTGGGGGCACTCCAGTCTCCTTGTCTTTCTTCTGGAGTATCAAACACTCCCTGTTAATGCCACTTCCATCTTTTCAGGTGTTCGTTTCAGTTCTGTGCCACACTTAAAGCAGGAGGTGTACAGGAAGAAATTCAAATGTGTCTGTAATTCAATCTCTGGAAGCTGAGATGAATGGTGATTTTCAGTGGTCTGAGCTCTCTGTCTCCGGTACTTGACAGTCTTGGCTGTTGCAGGATATGCTGCTAAAGATCTCAAAATATAGTGAACCTGTCAGCATTTCTAACAGCTACGTAGTGAGCTTTATTTTATGCACCTATCAGGGTTACTCTATCAGGGTGATCTCGGAATAACAGGAGTAATAACCCTTACGTTGTTCTTACCCATGTTGCGATAGATGCTATTTTTACGTCCCTAATCTTTGCAGCCTTTACTGGTCTCTTTGCACTGCTCTTGGAGGGTCGGTGCACTCCCCTGCCTGCTTCCCATACTGTAGCCACCATTCCCTTACTTTTGCCACACAAGGTGTGGCAAAAAACCAGGACTTTCAAATGGATCTAGGAAGGGGCATAGTTGAAACAGGTGTGAAGAAATGGCTTTTCTCACTACATGTGCTTGCACTGTGAAACTTCTAACCACAGGTCCATGTTGGTGTGAAAAGTTTACACAGGCACAGAAAAGGACCATGCAAGTCCACAGGGAAAGCCCACGGAGGGGTAGTAAGCACAGGATGCTAAGTCTAGCTTGGGAAGTGCCTGAGATGCAGATGAGTAAAGCTGAGAGTTAGCCCCACATCCTTCCTATCTTTTTATACTCTTCTCTAGGCATTTGCTGCTGATTGTCCTTGGAGCTTGACAGTTTGGCTAGATGGATCCTTAGCCATTACAGCTGTTGGATTATCTTTCATGGCAACATGTGAAAGGTGGTAGAGGCTGAAACAGAGGGTGGAGGTTGTGCTGCCTCAGCTGGTTCTGCTGAGCCAGGGTGCTGGTGGGAACTGGTTCAAGTCCAGTTGACTGGGCAGCTGTATATATCTACCCCAGAAGAGCAGATAGCATTACCCCTCTCCAGTCAGTTGCCTCTTCAGCTTACCTGCTTTCTTCTCCTCCTTGGTGCTGTCAGTGCAGCAACTCTTGGAGGATGGAACTGACCCCTGTGCTGCAGACGACAAAGGCCGGACAGCCCTGCACTTCGCCTCCTGCAATGGCAACGATCACATCGGTGAGTGGGGAGCGGGAGTTCTGCCTTCCAACCTCTTTGTGGCTGAGATTTCAAAGGATGCTCTTTATTTTGATTCAGCATGTGACAGAGATTGCTCTTTTGTGTCAAAGTTGCCAGCTGAACTCTGGGCTCAGGGCTTGCCACGTCACCCTGCTGGAGGGGGAACAGGGCCTCCCAGTTTTAGGGCTGTACTGATGCAGAGGGAAAGGTGTCCTTCCACCCAGTTCTTCCCCTCAGGGAGCTCAGGGGCAGTGACACCACCTGACTTTGAGCTGAGTCCTTCTGCATTGCTGCACCAACCCCTGTTCCCTGTCTCAGTAAGGCAGCTGATGAGCTGAACAGAAGCACCTGTAAGGCAGCCTGGTGGCTGCAACATGGACCTGTGGCCCATATGGGCCTGACCTGTGGGGCAAAGGGAAGGGACTGATGTGGCCCTGTTTCCTTGTTTCCAGTGCAACTGCTTCTGGACCATGGGGCTGACCCAAACCAGAGAGATGGGCTGGGCAACACCCCGCTGCATTTGGGTAAGTGCCACAGAGATGAGCTTTGCATGCAGAGAGGTGAGGTGAACACCACCTTACTGTTCCTTTCCTCTCCACCTTCCTCTTCCCTGTGCCTCACAGTATGCATCCCCAGATTTAAGGACCTAGAAGGGGCTCTTTGAATTTCACTAGCTTCACTCCTCACAAAGTTTAGGCTCAGAAAAAAGGTTTGAGAAGAATCGATTTCTCTCTCTCTGCCAGCCCCAAGGAGCACAAGCTCTGTTCCAGAGAGAGTACTCAGGCTTGAGTGTGAGGTTATCTTAGCATTTGGGCTGTTCTTCCTACCTGTGGCAAAGAAACCCTTTGGGAAGCAGCAAGCTCCGTGCTTGAGCAGGAACTTGTTTTTGCTAGTACCTCTGAGTTGTGTGTCCTGTGTTTTCCCTCCCCAGCTGCCTGCACGAACCATGTTCCTGTCATCACCACGCTGCTGCGCGGAGGTAACATTTCCTCTATAACAATTACAGCCTGTCCCTTTCCTGCCTGCCCTGTTGATACTCCCCAGGGACACCAGATCTTGACAACAAATCTCACTTTCTGTCCTTGCTCGTGCATCTTGCAGGGGCCAGAGTTGACGCCTTGGATCGAGCCGGCAGAACGCCACTGCACCTCGCTAAATCAAAGCTGAACATCCTGCAGGAAGGACTGTCCCACAGCCTGGAGGCCGTACGCCTGGAAGTGAAACAGGTAAAAGAAACAGTGCCATGTTCTGGTAAGTTGGTGCAGCCCCTGGCAGCATCCCACACCTTTTATTTAAATACCTGTCTGTAGGTTCTTAACCACTGTGGGGAGAGTTTGACTTTCCCTTCCATTTTCAGAGACCTTCCTTTTTCCCAGTGTCTACTCTAAATTTTTGCAGGACCTCCCTTGGTTCTGATAGGCCAATATCTTAATTCTTGGACTTTAAGGAGCACTCCTTTTCTTCTACCACCATGTAAGACAGATGCCTTGTGGCAGGAGAGGGACCGCAGCATGAGGCTATAGCTATGATGTATATATGCAGGGACTCTGTATTTGTAGCACAGTCTACCCTGCTCCAATATGTGGAGCCATGGAAATAGGAAAGCAGTTGCGGGGTTACAAATGCACAGGGCATGGGCCTCATGTCAGGAGCCTTATAGGAGCCACAAGGATTTTCACTCCCTATACACAAGCAGATACTGCTGGACTAGGAAGTCCCTGCTCCTCACAGTGAGGGAAGCTAGCTAGCCATAAAGAAAAGCTTGGTGCTTTTGGGGCTAGACCTTATGCTGCTTCAGCTGGGCCTGTCTCTCTTTCCTGTTTTCCTAAACCAGACACAAGGATTACAACTGATCTGTGTCTGTGGCTCATGAATGCCTCTGGTGACTCACTGGGCTCTTGTGCTGCCATTAGTGCCATGCAGTTGCTTTGCATGTGTTCTTCTCTAAGGATCACATATGCTGCCACAGGATGCAGCATCAAGGCTATGTGCTTGGTGATTTAACTGCAATTCAATTTTTCTTTGAAAAATGCCCCAGCCTAGTGTAACTCTCTGATATTTGCCTCTTATGCCTCTTGGTTTCAGATTATCCAGATGTTGCGGGAATACCTGGACCGTTTGGGGAGGCATGAGCAGAAGGAACAGCTGGATGATCTCTGTTCCAGGTTACAGATGACAAGCACAAAGGAGCAGGTAGGCAACGTTGAGCTACTGTGACTCACCTTGTGTTGTGGCTCCTGTGTGTGGGAGAATGCAACTACATGAGCAGTGGGAGACACTGAAGACACGGTTATGGTTCTTGTTCACACTGGGTCAAGCGGGCAGGTTATGTGATGACTCATGGTATTCCTTTAGGTTGGAATTCAAAATGCAGAAAGCATTACTGTGCCTAACAGCTCAGGAGAGAAGCTGAACATCAGATGGGCTGAGGGCACAGTCATTTTAAGGCCAGGATCAGCACAACCACACTGGGTTGCAGGGCCTGTTTGTTGTTTTTCTTACAGAGGATTGGCCCTTAGAAACAGGCTTAGAGGAAACAGCCCTGATACCACTGAGTTTTGGGTAATGCAGCAACATGCTTTTATTTTAAAAACTGGTTAAATCACACAGGGTGGAGGTCAAGCATCGACCGCCTGAGGAATGGGGAGAGCTCCCGTTGCCTCATGTTAGGGCTTTTGGATCATAAGAGCCCTTCTACGTGATTGTTGGGACCAAAGGCATCCTGTCCTAGCATAAGCTCAGCACGAGCATTACTGGCAATCCTAGTTCAGGGGTGATTCCTGCTGTGTTGGGGTTTGTTCTGTCGTGGTGAGTGGCTGCACAGCTGCATTCCCCTGCCTGACAGCCAGATGTGTTCTTCTGTCAGGTGGACGAGGTTACAGACCTCCTGGCCAGCTTCACGTCGCTCAGCCTGCAGATGCAGAAGATGGAGAACAGGTAATGGGCTTCCAAATCATCTTTCTGATGCAGCAGGAGAAGCCTTAGAAAGAAAAAAAAGGAAGCTGAAGCTTGCTTCCCAGATCGCTGAATAAACATTGCTGCCAGCGGCCTTTCCTGCCAGACTGACTCTCCAGTGGTGCTCAGACTGTTCCTGCTGATGCTGCCACAGCTGCCTCATAGGGAGGCAGCAGGCTTTGGACAACAGAGGCAACAGACAACAGTGCTGCAGCTGTGACTTTGGGGTAAAAGAGCTGCTCTACTTTTTATCAGATGGGCTGGTGATGAATAGGATACCTTTTCCAGAGATATTTTGCCTTCTCCTAAGTACTTCAGCTCAATGTAGGTGGTGGCCGATGGCATGTGCAGTCACCAGCCCTGACTACAGCTGACCAGCATCAAAGAAATGCTTGGAACAGGCACTTTTTGCCGCCTCCATATTGCTCAATTACATGAGGGAGAAAGTGAATACCTTGGACAACAGAAGGCTTTGTGCTGTGAGAAGTACACACGCTTAATTCTGCATGCTAGCAGCTGAGCAAACATACTGACTTGAGAGACGTGCAGGGAGGCTTAATCCTCACCTTCCCCGGAGCCTGTGGTCAGAGGGCAGAGAATCTGTCTGGTTACAAATGGGATACAAAGCTTTTCATCACTAGACTAACAGCTTTCACTGGCCTCATTTTTTAAATCACTGCTGCAAGTTAGTGCTTAGATACTGCAGTGTAACACTTGCAAAAAATACCCAGGTACACAGCTAGCAAGTCAGAGCTGCCCTGATGCAAGAATAAGGTTTGTGGGGGGTGACAATCTTAACACAGTTTTAGGTAGACATATACACCTTGCAGAAGAAAACCCCACCATAACTGACTTTTGTGTTTCCTGTTACTGGCAGTCTCAGGCAAGAGGTCCAGTTGTGACAGGAGGTGTTGCGCATGCAGCCATATTATTGGGCTGGGATGGAGCAGTACCAAACCCACTGCTCAGCCATCCTATGTTTCTTGCTTGTCATGGAGAGCCTTAAGTGCAGTGTGAGAAACAAATAATGACTTCTGCTGTGAGTCTGAAGTGATGAAGCTGGGCTGTGAATTGATTTTACTGCTCTCTCACTTCTTCCCCTGTGGTTAGTAATGAAGATTTAGATTGCTTTGTTTTGGAGCAAGGATCGTGAAATCCCATTGATAGGATGCTAACAGCAGCAGAGTAACAGGAACATGCCCAGTAGTAATCTGAGTTCCCACCTGTGTACCACACCATGGTAGTGCTGGTAGCCATACCCATCCCGCAGCTTGGGAAGAGTTCCTTATTAGGATTCAGCTTAAATTGCAACAGCCACAGTTTGGAGCATTCTTCAGAGACCTTTAGGTCAGCATGCTCTCTGATATCTACCTCTTGTCGAGGAAGAGGTTAAGTGGACCTCTGTGTTCAAAGCTGAGATACCAGAAATAGGCATGGCTTTTAAATGGGTTCATCCATGAGGTGCTGGAGGACATGACTGGGGCCAGCAGTCTTGTGGTTGGGCTGGAGCTGTCACTGTGAATAGTGGCACTTCATTATGATGTGCTGGATGGGAAGGATGCTGAGGAGGTGGGAGACAATCTGACGTTTTTGTATTTTAAAGTTCAATAAAATCCTGTTCTGTCTTTCAGAGCAGCCCATTTCTCTTTCTTTGCCATGTGTTCCAGGCCCCACACGCAGCACTGGACTTGGTAATTGCTACTCTCATAGCTGGTTCCAAAATCAGAAGCGACAACACAAAGTTGTTTGAATTCAAACACTGCTCTGTTTGCAGATCGAAGTACATGGTTTCTGACTGACCTTTTCTGATCCTGACTCCCACAGCCAAGAAATCCAAACTTTAAATCTAGGCAGTTGCTGTGAAACCCAACAAATAGAGGACAGAGAATCTCAGCAGGAGTACTTCTGCACTCTTGGAAAAGTGTGGAGCTGGTGGGGAGGTGGTGGCTGAATTTGTGCCTTGCCCCATGCTAGATAAAATGGCTGTGCTGTGAAGAGACAGCAAAGGGATGAGGGGCTGGGGAGGGACTTCTGGGCAGTGCAGAGAATTTCCAGTGTGATCCCTGTGTGAGGAGCAGGTGACTTTCATGTCCAGTCTTTACTTCCCTATTTCTTCCTGTCTTCACAGCCTGGTCTTGGTGTCCATATACACTCAGCTGTCAGCATTTCTGCCCTCAACAGCCTTGTTGCTGAGGAGACCATTAAGGTGCTCAAAGAGCAAGTGGCTGAAATGCTCTTTAACCCTGCAGTTACTTTAGTTGCTGATGTTGTCTGCTAACTAGACACCTCTTGGAAGCTTACCTCAAAACAGGAATACATCTAGCTGGGACTCAGAGTGAAGCTTTTAGCCTCAGCTCACGTGATCTCATCCGCAGCTCTCCAAGCCTTTGTCTCGCCTGGTGCTGTTTTTTTCATAACAGCTCCTGACAGGGGAAAGGTGGGGGTGCTGCAGACAGCCAAGAGCAATTATCTTGCTTCTTGTGCAGCACTGCTCCCTCCACGGGAGGAGAGGCAGCACAATCAATAATAAAACGAACAGGGTTTTGGGAAGTTTTGCCTCTGCTTTAACAGTAACACCAGGTAAGAAAGAGAAAAGGGCATCTGGTTTTCAGTGGGGAAAAAACTGCATCATGTAGGAATCACATTCTGCGGATCACTGCAGTTAGTTCTGCTTTCCTGCCTCACGGCTGAAGCACTGGACTGCTGAGAGCCATATCACTTGTTTGGCACTGGATGGAAAAAAGTTTTATGTTTCTTTGCATCAGCCATTCATGCTCAGCAGCTGTATCTAGAACAAGTTAGGTGCTAGGGAGAGAAAGAACGAAAGAAGAGGTTCTGGGGGAGGAGGAGAAGGTGGCTTCACACTGCCAAGAGCTGTTCACTGTCACTGTCTGGTTTTTTTTTGCTGCTCCTGGCCTAGAAACTTCAGCTTCTCCCAGCAGCTATTCCCTCTGTCCTTGCACCCTGGGCCACAGATTTCCGTGCATATATTTCCCAGCACAACCCATGAGGCTGGTGGCAGCTTTCTGCATCTTCCAGCGGTGTCTGCTGCAGTAATGGACAATAGAAACAACAGCACAAGTTTTCCTCTGCTATTTGTTTTGCCATTATAATCAGTTCAACCTCCTCATTTTCTTTGTGCTACACCATCAAACGCACCTCCCAGATCCCTTCCTGAGTGATGATGTATCCTGGTCCTCAGGGCCGTGATATCAACTGGGACTTGACTCTAGGCCTTGCTTCCCCCTCACCACTACCTGACCTCCAAATACCTTCCATTTCCCCTCCTCATTCACAGCACTGCAGGGACATTCTGAATCCCCAGCCACTGAACCCAGCAGCAACCTCCCTGGCTCTGCAGCTGCTGCTGTACTGTATGATGTAACCAAAACCAGCCAGCTTGAGAATCTGGCTCATCCAAACAAGTGAAGACTGAAAACCTGCCTGTGTCTCACTGAGGACTCACAGCAAAAGCAACAGCCCTGAGCAAAGCCTCCCAGCAAAGCCATGTGGATGTTACTAAGCAAAAGGCCTTTCTCTGAAGCAGCCACTCGCCCATGCAAGCGAATAGGAAGCACACACTGTAACGTATGTGAACATCAAGAATTTGTTCAGCTCTTCAGCAGCTAAAATAATTAATCTCTGACTTCTGAACTCCTTTATTTCCTCCACCTTTGCCTTTCTAGCACACGTCGAATCCAGCACTGCAATTACCTATGCTGCTAAGGAAGCCCAATGAAGCATCTCTGATAAACCCCATGAAGCATCTCTGGGAAACCTCCCACCCTTTCATCTGCTTGCTCTGCTCACTGTGTGAGCAAGATAGATCTCTTCTCACAGAAAGGTACTTACAGAAAGATGCCTTCTTCATGTGGTGTGCCTGGCCCACATGGGAGAGCAGCCCTAGGCAGCTGAGGGCTCAGGGGGTGAGTAGGTGGAAGAGTCAGTAAGTTTTGATTAGGAAGCTGATAAAAGAGTTATGGCAAACAGCATTTCTTTGTTTTTTTTCTGAAAGCTCTGAGAAGGGAAGATGGCATGTTGTTGTTGGAAAACATAATCAGCTGTCAAGCTGCTAAGGCTGATTGTGGATTAGGAACCAGCAGCTAAATCCAAAAGCAAGTAACCAGAATTTTCACTTGGGACTGCCAGATTTGCACACAGGGGTATAAGCAGGATGAGCTTCTTGGCACCTGGGTCTGACACCTCCCAGCAGTGTTAGGCTCATGTCCCACATGCCAGGGAGATGCCAGACAGCAGAACCAGTGCGCAGTTGGCAGGACTGAGTTGCTCCACAGACAGGAGATGGTGCTGACCACCAGCTGCAAAGCCCCAACCTGCTCACACCTCTCCCATTTCATCTCTGTTTCAGCTCTTGGAACAGCAGTACTCGGCTAATGTGGCAAACTAGCCTATGCAGGGTTAAAGATGATCTCTTCAGCCTGGGTGATGACAAGCAGGAAAGAAAATACAAGCAAGGAGTCATTAATTAAGGCAAGAAGCTGGGAGCAGAGACTTCAGAATGCTAATCAGTCTGGAGGGAAGGCTGCGTGGAAAGCAGCAATCAAGCTCCCTCAGCTTTAATTAAATCTATCAAGGATGTGACATCTTTGTTTCGCCTCTGCTTTTGAGCTGAGAAACCGGTTGGAGCATGTATGCTGTTACTGGGCAGACAGGAATTCCCTCCTGGCTCCAGAGCCTTCCCCACCGAGACTCAGTGCCTGCCCATCCTGCTCACGTGCTCCCCAAAATCAGGGCTTAGCACCAGGCAGAGCTTAGGGAAGGGGTCCAGGGCTTGCAGCCACTTATGTTGAATGCAGCTTCTCCTCAAGGTCTTCCTTGTCTTCTCTGTCCTGTTTTATTTAGGCTTCACCCCCATGTGCAGCAGTCAGTTCTGAGCTGATCCGCTTCCTTTGCAAGCTGAGACCAGGAGGAGCAGGATCAGGGGTGAGAAACAGCCCAGCTGCATCTAGGCAAAAACAGGAAGCATCCAGCTGTGCCACATCACCTCCTGACTCCTGTTCCCTTCTCCCTCCAGTGCTTTAGGCTGTGTAGTGAATCTTCACCTGTAGAAATGATGTATGTATTTGTGTTGTCCAGAGGTGTGTTGAGCCATGTGAGCTGGCCACCAGCCATGGCATCGTGTGCAAAGGGTGGCTGTAGAACTTGCTGTCCCAGGAAGGTGGGTAAGGCAATCTGGACATGTTTCTAAAGAGCATCAACTGCAGAGGAGTGTTAGCCATCACAGAGGGAGGGAGGTGGGAGAATCGCAAACAGGGATAGGAGGTGAGGGAGGCTCGAAGTGCAGAAAGCATCATCAAGTGCTTGAATGGAAAAGAAAACTAATTCCCAGCACAGCTCTTCAGCTGGCCTCCACACAGAAAAAGGGGTGTCCTTGGAGCTGAGCTCCAGCAAGGGGTACAACAGCTTCAGCAAGCGTTAGAAATACCACGTCACCTGGGAATTTAAGAGCAGGCAGGACAAAGCAATAAGGAAAGATTTACACAAATGGAAGTAGGGAACAGAAAGCGAAGAGAAATAAGGGGGAGATTGTGGCTCTGCTCACACACGTCACAGCTCTGCAAGCTGCCTGATGTCACCCAGCCCTGCCGCACAACATCTACAGCACTGACAGCGTTGCAGGGCACTGCTGGGACCAAAACACCTTTACTTTTGACACAAGCTCCAGTACCATGCATCGAGACAAGTGAGGACACCAGCAGATTCTGCAGTCCATGCAGGGCTCAGGACACCACCGATGGGGCTGCACAGCAGGACACCATGATGGGGCTGCAACTCTGCATTTGATGCAGCCTCATGCTGGCAATTGGC